ATATTTAATAACATGCTATTCAGCTTCCAGGTGTTTGAGTATTTTGGGTTGTTTCTATTGTAGTTTATTTCTAATATTATGCCATCGTGGTCTGAGAAGATGCTTTTTAGGATTTCAATCTTCTTGAGTTTGGGGATATTTGCTTGTGACCCAATATATGGCCTATTTTTGAATATGTCTTATGAGCACTTTAGTAGAATGTATATTCCATGGCTTTGGGGTGAAGTGTTCTGAAGATGTCTATTAAGTCCATCTGATCTAGTGAGTCATTTAGGATTGCTGTTTCTTTGCTGATTGTTTGTCTAGAGGACTTATCCAGTGCTGTTAGTGGTGTATTAAAGTCCCCTACTATGATTGTATTGTTGCCGATCTCTCCTTTGATATCTTCTAGGAGTTTTTTTTATGAGTTTGGGTGCTCCTGCACTGGGTGCATATATGTTTACCAGGGTTATATCTTCTTGTTGTATTGATCCCTTTAGTATTATGAAGTGGCCTTCCTTATCTCTTGTAATGCCTTCACTTTGAGGTCTATTTTGTCCGATATAAGTATTGCTACCCCAGCTTTCTTTTCCTTTCCATTTGCTGGAAAGATATTTTTCCATCCTTTCACTTTCAGTCTGTGTGAGTCCCTTCTAATGAGGTGGGTCTCTTGTAGACAGCAGATGTATGGGTCATGTTTTTTTATACATTCAGCCACTCAATGTCTTTTGGTTGGAGCATTTAGTCCGTTTACGTTTAAAGTTATTATTGAAAGGTACTTGTTTGTAACCATTTCTTTTTTTGTGTGGCTGTTTTCTTTCTGAGCTTTTTATTTCTTCTTTTTACACCAGTCCCTTTAGCATTCCTTGCATTGCTGGCTTGGTGGTGATAAACTCCCTTAGCCTTTTTTTGTCTGTGAAGCTTCTTATTTCCCCTTCAAGTTTGAATTATAGCCTGGCTGGATAGAGTATTCTTGGATTCAGTACTTTGCTTTGCATCACTTTGTAAATTTCTGTCCATTCTTTTCTTGCCTGATGTGTTTCTGTTGAGAAATCATTTGACAATCTAATGGGAGATCCCTTGTATGTAACTTTCCGTCTCTCTCTTGCAGCCTGTAAGATTCTCTCTTTGTCCTGAACATTTGCCATGGTAATTATGATGTGTCTTGGTGTGGGTCTTTTCGGGTTCACCTTGTTTGGGACTCTCTGGGCTTGTGTGACTTTTTTCTTCCCCACCTCAGGGAAGTTTTCTGATATTATTTCTTCGAATAGGTTTTCTAATCCTTGTTCATCTTTCTGTTGTTCTGGCACCCCTATTATTCGTACATTGTTTTGTTTCATGTTGTTCCAAAGCTCCCTTAGGCTCTCCTCCTGTCTTTTAATTTTTTTCTCCAATTGCAGTACATTTTGGGTGTGTTTTGCTTCCTTGTCTTCTAATTCACTAATTCGGTCCTCCGCTTCTCCTAGTCTACTGTTGATACTTTCAATGGTGTTTTTTATTGCAGCTATATCACTCTTCATTCTTTCTTGGGTCTTACTTAAGTTGTTGATTTTTTCATCTGTTTCTTCTAGCTTCTTCCATATGTTATTAATTTTTTCATCTGTTTCTTCTTCCTTCTTGCATAGGTAGTTGACTTTTTCATGTTTCTTCTAGCTTCTTGCAGAAGTTGTTGATTTTTTCCTCCATCCGGTTTATGCACTCTAGGACCCTTATTCTGAATTCTTTTTCTGTCATGTTGCATGCCTCTGTATTACTTAGCTGCTTTTCTGGAGAGTCCTCCTTCTCTTTCCTTTGGGGGTTTCTTTGTCTACCCATGTTTGATCTCACTGACATATCTAGACGTTGAGTCGTTCAGTGGCTACTCCCTGGGTGGCAGTGGCTCCTTGGGCTGTGGTTGCTCCTCGGGCAGTTGCAGTAGCAGCTGCTCCTCAGTTGGCAGCAGCTCCTCTGGTGGGTGCTGTTCACAGCTGTGGTGGCTCTTCTGGCTGGTCGGGGGAGGCTTCACGGACAGCTGCTGTTCCTCAGACAGAGGGTGTGGTGCTCAGGAGGCTGCTGTTTCTTGGATCTGCTGCGTTGATTTAAAGGCACAAAATACAACACAACAAGGCACCACGTACCAGGCACTAAACACAAATCTCAAATAGATTTTTAATATCTTGCTCTCTCTCTTCTTCTGGCACCACCATAATTCGGATATTGGTATGCTTGAAGTTGTCCCAGAGGCTCCTTACACTATCTTCATATTTTTGGATTATTTTTTCTTTTTGTTTTTCCAGTTGGGTGATTTTTGCTTTTTCGTATTTCAAATCTTTGACTTGATTCTTGTGATCCTCTAGTCTGCTGTTGGAACTCTGCATAATATCCTTTATTTCAGTCAGTGTATGCTTAATTTCTAGTTGGTCCTTTTTCATAACCTCGAGGATCTCACCAGATTCCTTGAGGGTCTCACTAAATTTATCAGCGGTTTCTAGAAAATTCTTGAAAAACCTTAAAAGTGTGGTTTTGAACTCTATATCCAGTAGTTTGCTTCCCTCCAGTTCTGTCATTTGTGACCTGTTTCTTTGTCTCCACATTTTTTAACCTTCCCTGTGTTGGTAGAGTGGCTTTCTGTGCTAGGTGTCCTATAGGGCCCAGTGGTTCAGCCTCCCCAATTCCCTGAGGTGGACACTCTTGGTGCACCCCTTTGTGGGCTTTGTGCACAGTCTTGTTGTAGTTAAGCCTTGATTGTTGTAGGATCACTGGGAGGAATTGACCTCCAGGCCAATTGGCTGTGAGAATCAGCTCTGTCTGCATTGGAAGAACTTCTGTGGTGGAGACACCCTTCTGGGGCAAGACTTGCTTCAGTGGGGCTTTGGTGCTCACTGAGTCTTCCCCCTGAGTGTGTCCCTTATGGATCTGAGGAGTTGTAATCTGGATGGTCCCACTCTGACCACTGGTACACTGGCTCTTGGATCTCTAAGGATGTGCTAATTTAGCCTCTGCCTGAGGCTACCCAGCAGGAGCTATGGAGAGATTCCTCTTCTTTGTTTGGGGTTTGGAGGTGCCCAGATGAGGCCCAGCTGTGAAGCAATGCAAGCTGCTGTGGTGCCTTGGGCCTTCTTTTGGAAGTTCTGGGTCTCTCTGATTCAGCTGCAGTTTGTTAGGTAATTTTCAGGTTGCAAAGGGCCAGGCCTTTCATATGCAAAAGCCTCTGCACATAGCTTGGGTGGGGGCGGGTTCTAAGGGGATCAACAGGGCGGAGCAAGCAGCTATGGCTGCTCCCCAGTCCTACCCTAAGAGGCCCAGTGTCTCAGTGTCCCAGTAATTGCTGCAAGCATCTCTGAGAGAAAGCTGCCCTAGAGTTCTTCCCGATGCCAGACAGTCCAGTTTCTCCCCATATGAGTCTGGGTCCCCAGAGACTCACCCGGAAATGGAGTTCAGAGCAGTTGGGAGCTTGAGACTCCCTCCCGATTGAAAAAGACAACTGTGTCCTCAGTTGCCAGCCCTCTCCACATGTGCCGCATCCTCAGTTGCCAGCCCTTTTGGCATGTGCCTTCGTACCTCTGCACTTTACTTCCGCACCTCCTCTGAGTCTCAGTGTGCTTTTCTCTTTCCTTCTAGTTGTAGAATTTCCACTCATCCAGCCTTCCTGTGGTTCTGGATGATGTGTGTTTTGTCTTTTAGTTGTGTTTTTGAAGTGGTTGTGCGAAGCAGCAATTTCCGGTGTTTACATATGCTGCCATCTTGGTTTCTCCCCCAGGTTCTCTCTTTATTGTCCTGTTACATCTGTATTTATACCGTTTGATCCTATAAGCATGCCTCTTTAATCATCTCATGGTATGTTTTGGGTCCTCCCTTGACCTACAGTTCCTTGTTTCATGCCCATAGTTTCTTATCTGACCTTTGCCAAAAATCCCATCTCCATCTAGTTCTGTTGAATTTAATCCTATCCATTCTACTCCAAAGGCTAGGGCTAGTTATCTCCATTGCAAGGCCACTACTCTACTGTTCTGTTAAGCTACAACGAAGTAACTTAAGGAGATTATCCTAAGTAAAGATTATGTAGCTTAAGCGTGATTGTTCGTAGTTAAGGTGATTAACTACCTGACTGGCACTTAGTTAAGGGGTTTTACTTATTTATTCCCTTCCTTAGTCCTGTTAATCCCTAACTCCAGGGAAACATCCCCACCTGGGAAAACAACCTGTCTCGGGGAGGTGGCCTTGGTTAGAACACAGAGTGCTAAGAAGGGGAGCAAACATATTAAGAACAGTATGCCAGGTCCCTTGAAACATATGTTGTGCAGATGTTTCTTCCCTGCAGTGACTGTGTCAAGCAACAAGGATGGACTGGCCACCGGCAATTGATCCTTATCTATCTATCTATCTATCTATCTATCTATCTATCTATCTATCTATCTATCTATCGTCTATCTGTATATATCTATCATCTATCTATTTATCTATCATCTAAAAATCAATATACATATGATATTATTGAGTAAAAAAAAAACAACTGAGGAGAATCATTGTAAAACGAGAAGCAGGAGAGATTTTCCTACTCGAGAGCTAGAAGGAGAAAGTCTGAAAGTGTTTTTTGGTGAAGAGTGCTGTGGTTTGAATGCTGTGTCCCCTCAATATTCATATGTTGAAATCCCAATGCCCAGTGGGGGGTCCTAAGCTCAGGAATGAGATTAGTGTTCTTATAAAAGAGACCACCCCACACCCTCAAGCTCCTTAGTCCCTTCCACCATGTGGGGACACAAAGAAAAGTTGGCTCTCATAACATGGAAGAGGGTTTTCACCAGAACCTGACTGTGCTGACATCTTAGTCTTGAACATCCAGCCTCCAGAACTGTGATAAATAATTTCTTGTTGTTTATAAGCTATCCAGTCTTTGGTAATTTGTTATGCCAGCCTAAATGGACTAAAACAAGAAGGTCCAAGTCCATGGAGAGGTAAAGTAGATGAATACTGGAAAACTAGTCAGGAAAGGATGGGAGAAGGTAGAAAAACAGGAGGGAAGTTGGGTCCTGGCTGCAAGACTAGTGTGGGTGTGATGAAGAGAGCAGAACCAAGCTTGTGTGCTTAGAGCTGCCACCTTTATGGAGTGTGAGCATCAAGCCCATTTTGTGGGCATAGTGAAGAGGGAGAGAAAACTGACCTTCTGTGGATAATCGTTCTTCTTTTTTCTGATTCAGAACTGGGTTCCAGATAGAACATGTCAGATTCTTCTGAGGAGGTTCTCTGAGTAACAGTGATGTTGTTACATGGAACAAGCCACCTTCATCCAGGGTATGAGTCTCAGACTCAGCTGGAATTTCTTCTCCCTCAGAGTCCATCCACTGGACCTTTGGCTGAGGGAACCAGCCCTCTGATTTGCACTCTATTTGGAATTGGCTGGACTTAGTGACTTCCACATGCAACTGAGGACGTGAGCCGAGAACTGGGAAGAGAAAGAAAATAAAGTCGGGTCCAAAGCTAATTTTTGTGTGCAGATGTCCCTCCCCTGCTTCTGAAGGGTTTTATTGCTGACTGGATCTCAATGTGCAGAACAGGGAACAGAGCCTCTAAAGGGGTTTTGGCAACAAAAATGGGACCTAGACTCCTGGGCTTGAGAGGAGTCCAACACAATCCAAAACAAATGGCCCCTGCCTATTTCTTGACTCCCACTCTGTGTTTCTTTATTTCCTTTTTAAAAACATTTTATCTTTATTGTTGAAAGTATTACAGATGTCCCTCCTTTTTCCTCCTGATGACCCCCTCCATCCCACACCTGTCCCCCCCAGGCCTTTGCCACACTATTGTTTATGTCCACGGGCTGTGCATATCCTATATAATAAAAGCCCAGCAACCATAACGGTGTAACAACCAGAACGACTGCTCAACCAGTTGCTATGAGGTGCATTGACCACCTGTTGGTCTCTCCCAACTCCCCCACCCCAGCCTGCAGGCTCCGATTGCCAGATGGCCAATGGGGAACCGGGATGGGTGGCGGTGGGGCGAGACTAGGAACTGGCGAGGGAAACTGGGTGGGTGGCAGTGGCAGGGCAAGACTGGGGACTAGCAAGGGGAACTGGGTGGGTTGCAGTGTGGGACTGGGGACTGGTGAGAGGAACCGGGTGGGTGGAAGCGGCAGGGCAGGACTGGGGACTGGCAAGCGAGCAGGAGATGGCCCTGATCTCAGGCTAGGTCTAGGGACCCTACCTGCGCATGATTTCTTGTGCTGGGCTTCTAGTATGTAATAAGTTCCCTGGTTAATCTCTCCCTACCAACCCCCCATTCCCCCCCCCACCCCCCCACCGCCTTCCCTCTGAGATTCTTCAGTTTGTACAATGCTTCTATGTCTCTGGATCTATTTTGTTCATCAGTTCATTTTGTTAATTGGTTTGCACATATGAGTTGAGATCATGTGATATTTGTCTTTCTCTGACTGACTTATTTCACTTAGCTTAGCCCCAAGAAGTGATACATGGAGTAATGCGGTGAATAGAAGTAATGACCATCTCCCTGTCTCCTAGACTATTTTTATATTTCTCAGGAAAATTGGATCAGAGGAAGGAGCCCTTCCCAGAATAAATTCACATCTGTGGGGTGTCAAGGGGATAAATGTGGGCCATTACCTTCCATTTTCAGCATAATAATTGCATCACTGTAGAAGGAGCCATGTTGGAATGCACAGCGATATTGGCCGCTGTCAGAAGGTTGGACATTGAGGATTCTCAGGGTCACAGCCCCCTTATCCATATAGTCTGTCACAAGCTCTGTTCTTCCAAAATACTCCTCATGGGCTTCCTCAGGCTTGTCCCTCCCATCCTCATATAGGTGCACCACCTGGGAGGGTAGGAATCGAGTCCAGCTTATTTTCATATTTTTAACACTTTGATGAGGCAAGAGTAGGCAGCGCAGCTCAGCGTCACCACCCAGCATGGCCACCATAGGTTCATGGGGCCCCTGGATTTGGAATGCTCCTAAAAATAGAACAGAGATAGAGTCAGGATGGGCTGGGGCAGGATTTGTGCAGATGAAGGCGGGTTGACTACACACATGATTGGCTATTTTCATCCTAACAAAGTCCTGGGAACAAATTCTGAAAATAGTTGCTGAATCTTGAGAAAAGGAGGTCTGTTTTGGGACATGGATATACACACAAAGCTAGGAAGGAGCTGGAAATGTTGAACGGAGGAGGTGTAGGCCTGGCTAAGGTGAGGTATGCAAAGAACTCAGGGCAGAAATATTGAGGAGGAGGCACTCCCTTTCTGGTTTTAGGGTCAGCAAGACCTGAGAGAAAATGCCTCTTTAAATTTTTGCCGAAACCAGTTTGGCTCAGTGGATAGAGCGTCGGCCTGCGGACTGAAGGGTCCCAGGTTCAATTCCGGTCAAGGGCATGTACCTGGGTTGCGGGCACATCCCCAGTAGGAGATGTGCGGGAGGCAGCTGATCAATGTTTCTCTCTCATCGATGTTTCTAACTCTCTATCTCTCTCCCTTCCTCTCTGTAAAAAATCGATAAAATATATTTAAAAAACTGTTTTAAATTTGGGGCCACAGGTTCCTCAGTTAACTTAGGGAGGGATCTGAGGAATGTGACTGCAGGAGAAGGGAAATAGACATGCTAGTTTCTTCAGGTCAGGTTCTGTCCTTGTCTGTAGGAGAGAGGGATCACACAGGAACCGATGGCTCTGGATGGATAGTGGATAACTGTGCTGAGAAAGCATCTGAAGCAGCTCAGTGGTAAAAATGTTTGGAAATCATTAATAATGTTTGCCATGAGCTTGGGATGAGAAAATGGGGGCATACAAGCTAATTTTTGCCACTCTTATTCTATATTATCTTAAGACCCTAAGGACTTATGCTTCTTTATTTTACTTTTTCTCTCAATCTTTGCTCCATCCTAAGCACATTTGTACTCAGGTGTACACAAACACACACACACACACACACACACACGCACACACACCAGCAGGCGTGGACAAAGAGATATGAGTAAAAATGCCTAGTACATTGCCTGGTACTTAGTAAGTAGAATAACTGAACTTCTTTACTTTTTCCCAGATCTCACAGCATTTGTATTTTTGTCAAAAATTTCCTTTCAGCTTCCTACCCTTTTTCTTTTTCTTTCCCTTACATATCAGAGAATCAGAGGCTCATATAAGAATTCCAACCTGTAACAATCTGGAGGCAGAGGTAGAGTGAGATGAGGCTGCCATGATACATTGTAGAGACTCGCTGCCTCCTCAGGTGATTCAGGCAGGGTGATTCCAAGGTGTTGTGCTGATGAATCACTGGAAATGGAGGGAAACACTGTAATGAGCAGAAAGATAAAAAGGGAACTCTGAGACTTAAGTCAAGGGGCAGAGAAAAGAAGGAGTGCAGGAATCTCACTCTTGGACAGGTAAGGGGCATGTCTCATTTATGGTAGGAAGGTGAGGGACAGGGTAAGATTCTTGCTCCTTTTTCTACAAGTGTTGGGACTTTTGATGTTTAAAACTTTGCAGGGCACTCATTGCTTCAGCTACCATCTACATGCTGATGGCTCACTCCCAAATGTACACCTTCTGTGCATAATGTCTGGTGACCCAGCGGTAGGCCCTGCTTCTAGAGGTACCAGGAGCTTAGGGGCCCCTTTACCTTGGACTAACAGAAAATCAGGTGGCCTCTATCATTTTCCACCTCACTTCCGTCCCCAGACTGGCCAAGGCCAGCTTCTGATATCCCATTCTAGAACATGTAAATTAGTAGTAGTAGTGAGGAAGGGGCTGTAACACACCTCAACAACCACTTCAACTTGGAATTTGGTGGCCATGGCTATGAAGTTAGTTGCCCAGGTCCGGGTCCCAGAGATATTGCTGTTCAGGGACTCTCTAGGAAGAACTGGTCCAAAGAATAGAGGGAAAGACATTTCAAAGGCCATGCTCTCATGAAGTGGAGGGGACTATGCTTTATATGTGGGGAATGGATCCTGAGCTGGTAGAGGCATGTGGTATATAATTGTGCAGGGTCTTAAGGAGCATGGAACCAACTGCAGACATGGAGCATATATCACTTCTCCATGGACTAGGCAGCACTTCTCAAACTTTTTTTATATCACAGTACACAGAAAAAATGATGTTATTTTTTGGGCCCACTATAGTAAACTGGAAGGGGATTAGCCTATATGGACTTAATGGGAAAAAATGACATTATCTGAAATTATCTATCTATATATAAAAGGCTAATATGTTAAATGTCTGAGTGTCGGACCGGTTGCTATGACGTTCACTGACCACCAGGGGGTGGACGCTCAACGCAGGAACTGCCGAGCTACAGTGACTTGGCAGTGGTGGTTCTTGGGTGATGCACCCTGAAACCAGAGAGGAGGGAGCCCAATACCTCATGGGGCTGCACAATTCCACCTTCAGCCGTGGGTTATGTTGTTGCTGGGGCACTGTTGGCCCCAAATCTGGTTTACTGCACACTGGCATTTGTGTTTCACACCCTGTACGACACCAACTTTGCAGAGTGCCCTCTCGCACTTCGGGACCCCTCGGGGGATGTCGGAGAGCTGGTTTTGGCCCGATCCCCACAGGCCAGGCTGGGGGACCCCACCTGCTGGAGGGACCCCGCTCACTCTGAATACCCTGGGGAGATACCACAGGAGGTTGGCTCTAGGGCATGTCTGGCCCATCTTGCCCAGTCCCACCCCGCCGGCCACCTTCTAATTAATTTCCTTTTAATGTGCATGAATCCGTGCACCAGGTCACTAGTATAATTATAAGAAAATGAAATAAAAAAGATTAATAAATATGTTAAATGTAAATTTTAGAAGGAATACACCTAGAAATCTTGAATTCTTATAATTTTTGAAGATTCTTTAATAAATATAGCTTTTTGATTTTTGGTTGTATACTTGAAATAACTACAGATAATTATCAATGTTCAATTATAATGATCAGTAATGATCTGTTCAATTTCTTGATTTTCTTGGCAGTCACCATTGGTGAGATATTTTAGGTGAATAAGCAGGTATTACAAATGTTAAAATCTTTTTTATTTCCTTTCTTTTAAGTTGTATTTTAAGAACTTAACAGCTCTTTCTTTTCTTTCATTTACAAATGTAATGATGACATTTAAAAAATGTGAGTGGATTTAAAATCCAATTGAATTTTTTCTCATCCAATGTTTCAAAATAAGTTTTTCTTTGTAGAAAGTTCATGCAACTTTAAGGTAATCACTTTGCAGTTAGGTCGCACATATTAACAGCAAATTGACAAAACATATCTGAGAACAGAGTTTGGGTGCTGCTGCTTTGAGCTCCACCAGGAACCCCTGCCTGGCCTCTTTGTTCCTCCCATTCTCTCCAGGTAGGGCTACACATGGGTTTCTTGCTCACCTGCATTTTGAAATCTTCCTATTGATCTATGGGATCATTTTTCTGAAGGGCAGCAGCACTCAGGGCAGTGGACTGAAGACTAAATCTTCAGTTGATCAAGCAGAGTGTGTAGTTCCAGACACCAAACAGAGGTTGTCAGAAGTTGCTCTTCCCATTTGCTGCTCAACTTGCAAAGCCATCTGAAGGACCCAAATGGTGGGGCAATTGTTATAAGACATGCTTAAGGATGAAACATGAAGTCCTACTGGTATCTGTACTGGTAAACGGTACCTTCAACTAAGTGGGTATCTGTTTCCAAATCTCTTGAAAGTGTAGAAAATAACAGGTTATGGACAAAATTTTATGGCAACTGTTTCACTTGAGCTAGAGAAACTTATCTGCCCCTCGTCCCTGACATATCACAGAACCAGCTCCCCACCAATGGCAGGGAGGGGACACTGTGTAATCAATGCAGAGACCTAGGAATCTTTTGAGATTGCTGATAAAGATGCGGAGGTTCTTAGCAAAGAGTTCAAGGCTATTAGTGCTGAGCTCTTCAAATAGCCCAGTCTACCTAAAACCTCTTTATGGAAAATCATTTTAAAATTAAAATATCCAGGCTTATGCCAATTGCACGCAGCCTTCCCTCACTTTGGCGCTTGGTCCTTGGTGCGCCACTGTGATCCATGGGGAGGGTCGGCCTGGTGGCTGGATTTAACGCATTGGAATTAATAATGGCAGCCAGACTCAGCTTTGAACAAAGGAAATTCATCCTAAAATGCTACTGGAAGTTTGAAAATGCAGTCGAAGTACAAAGACAATTTGTGAGGGAGTTTCAAACAGGTCCCCCTATGAGACTTACCATCACTTGAATTAGAGATAAGTTTGAAGCAGATGGAACTAATATTCAGAATGTCCACAAAAAGCGTTCTGGAAGACCACAAAGCAAGACAGGGAACTGGAAATGTATCAACAAAGTCCAAGAAAATCTGTGCGGCAAACAAGTCATGATGTAGGAATTTCAAAATTGTCCATCGTATTTTAAAGCACTACCACTGGAAAAGTGACTTCCAAGGTTAGTCCATGCAACCAATGAAGATGATTGGACCTAAGCGTGGAGTATTGCGAATGGAATTGGCAAGGTGTGTAGAAGATGCACACTTTCCAACAAAGATTGAATGAAGTCATGAAGCTACATTTAAATTAAATGGTTCAATTAATCACTACAGCTGCACCTACTGGGGACCTGAGAATCCACATGTTATGATGGAGCATTGCCGGGGCTGACCAGCAGACCCTGAGCAATAGATGAACAGATTACTCTGACACAGGTTTCTGTGAAACAGAGTGCTAAGGGAATCTTTTACTTCAGTAGTAAAAGCAGTCCTGTTCACCTGCCTCCTTTGCTTTTTATTGTAACAACAGCTTGAACTGAAATTAATCTCTAGATACAATCAGCAGGGTAAGTGCCCTTGAGAAAGTATATGCTGCTACAAGATCAGGTCTTTAAAGACTAAACATAGAGATTCTAGCAAAACACACCAGGGATGGGACTTGTTTGGAAAAATCAAGGTAGGAGCTGTTGCCCTAGGGAAGGTCCCCTCAGAGGCCCCTGATCTTTCAGAGAATCCTCCTTACAGACATTCCAACCAAGTCCCGTGCTTCCCACATCTCTTCTTTTTTTGTTTTTCTGGCTGCAGAAGACAGAGGGAGGCGGTGAACTTTCTGCTTTGGAAGGTTGGGGTTTGCGAAGCCTGTTTTATTGCTGGAGTTTTAATTTTGTAGACTATAAGAAAAACAAAGAGAATTATAATGACAGCAATGGTTAGTTCAATTAGGTTTTAATTGATTTTAGGAAACCATGTGGTGGGGTTTATTTATTTTAATTGTTTTTTTTTATTGTATTTTAAGTAGTAGTCTGTTTTTTATGTTTATTGATAGCAAGTAAGGATTTTTTATTTTGCCTTTATAATATGTTTATTTTTTAGCAAGGTTATTATGAAAGACTTTTTATAGATGTTTTTTAATATTAATTTAACAATGGTGACTATTTTTTTTATTTTAAAGGGGTGATATATATATATATATATATATATATATATATATATATATATGCTTATGTTTTTAATTACAATTAAGCACTTGCCTGTATGCTATAGTGTTTTGTGTTTTTTAAAAAAAGATATTTAATGGCGGCCTTTATTGCTTGTAGTTTAGCTAATATTTTTGATTTATGTGCTGTTGTATAGTGAATTTTTAGTTATATTATCCGCCATATTGTCTACAAATGTGGTCATTTGCACAGATTTAGAAAGGGCCGCAACTGCAATGCTGGCAGTAGTAAGAATAACAACAGCCAAGATAATGGCTGCAATGAGTATTCCCAAAATCTTTTGGGCCGTAATTGGCTTAATGCTTTTTTTAAGACTTTGATAGCTGATGAGCCTTGCCATTTTTTGGTGAGATTAACAGGTATTAGGATTTTTGTTTGTTTTTTAAGTACCATAATAGTGCTGATGTTTAATGAAGTAATATTTTGGATGGTAAAAAAAAAAAATTAAAATATCCAATACATTTTCTCCACTAGTTCCTTTGTACTTCTTCCATGCCACACGTGATATTCTTCTAGTCGAATTCAAAGCAAATGGTTTTGATAAAAAGAAAACAGAAACAAGACTTCTTGTTCTATAAAGTCTCAGGAGAAGCTGGAGGATGACATAGCAGTTTGGGGTTCTCTTAGGCAACTCTCAAGCACACCAGCTGTAATGAGGGGCCTTACTTTCTAAGAGAAGGGATGAGTACTTTTTCAGCTGTCAATCATACTTTGCTGGATCAGTCTGATATTCTTGGTGAATTTCTTCAGGGATTTCACTTGGTTCACCTTGGCTACTTCCTCAAGCTACACTGAAATCACCAGCTAGTGATTTCATTTTAGTCTCTCCCACCACTTTTAGTCTACTCCTCCCTCCCATGCATTCATAGTTGTAATTTTCTTCTATGAAAGTGAGAATCATAGCTCTTGATTATCAACCTCCCTGTATGAAGCCAAGTTCTCACCTCTGTTTCTGCCCCTTCTCCTATATGAATGCCCTCCTCAACCCTCTCCAGAACTATGCGGGGCACTCCCTCCACATGGACGCTTCTTTACCTTGTGTGGAGTCTGCTATGTCCCACCCAATGCCTCACTGTGCTCTGGCTCTGACACTCATAAGAGAACTCCCTCCCACAATGGACTTTCACCTCCCCCACATAAGGCTGCCTCCATGGATTGGTATCCCTTCACTGCTTGGGCTCTGATCCCTTACTGTGGGCCACCTCAGTTCCACTTCTACACCCTGTTCCTCTGAGTGCCAGCACAGTTATCAATTTTGCTCTGCCTACATGACTAGTTTAAGACTGGGCTTTTCAGGAAGACAAAGGACAAGAAAGGAAAGAAAAGGAAAGGAAAGGGAAGGGAAGGAAAGGGAGGGGAAGGAAGGGGAACGGAAAGAAGGGAAGGGAAATGAAAGAAAAAAAGGAATGGGAGAGGAGGGAAAGGCTATCCTGTTTTTTAAAATAAAGAA